AGTGCTTGGGCCCTGCACCCCATGGGAGACCAGGAGAAGCACCTGGCTCCCGGCTTACGGATCAGCACGGTGGCCATTGGAGGGTGAACCAACTGCAAAAAGGAAGACCTTTCTCTCTGTCTCTCTCTCTCACTATCCACTCTGCCTGAAAAAAAAAAAAAAAAAAAAAGAGAATACATGTGTTTTCTTCCAAGGGCTTTGTATTTTGCCCAGAGTGGTGCATGGAATTTGCTTGAGCAGGACTGCGGGACCATGACTCAAACAGAGCCTCTCTACATAGCAGTCTGGCACCAAGACAGCAGCATTGGCTGCTTAACCACTGAAATACATATTGGTTATGTGACCTTGTGATCTAATAAGAAATATGTACTTGGTCCTTGCCTCTGGCCCCTGACCAGAGCTCCTAAAAGCCTTGTAACTTCCTAAGTGATAAGCTTAATATTAATATTATTAATAAGATAATAATATTGGGTTTTTCCCCAGCTCCAGAAACAGCTCTGGTGCAGCAAAGTGCAAGTAGAGTATTTAATTATTCACAAGAAACCCCTTTCTGCCATACCTAAGATTTCGCTAATGAGGTAAGTTTGGGGAAGGTCTTTCGGACAGTGGGCTGGTTGCCAGAAAAGCCAGTCTTGTGATTACAGGGTTGGACTTTTCAGCTCCAAACAGACCTGAACTGACCACAAAGCAGTTGGACCAACATTTAGTAATTTAACCTGTAATGCCTGTGTAATGAGGCTTCCATAAAAACCCTAACCAAAGGAGTTCTGTCTCTAAGGGGTACAAGCTCTTGTGTTCAGAACCTTTCCAGACCTCACTATCTGTATTTCTTCATCTAGCTATTCAATTGTTTCCTTTACAAACATGTTTTGCCATAAATTGGAAATAGTAAGGAAATTGGTTATCTGTGTTGCGTAAGCCATTCTAGCAAATACCTTACTTATCTTTAAGTATGTATGTAGGTAAGTATGTATATATGTATTTTGAAACACTGAATGACTTGAATCCAGGCACTCTGCTATGAGATGCTGGTATACTAAGCAGCATCTTAACCCCAGTGCAAAAAACCTGCCCCTCTAACAAATTATTGAACCTAAGTAGGAGTTCATGGAAGCTTCCAATCAGCATCCCAGTCAGTGAACTGGAACCCCACCACTTGTCACTGGCATCTGAAGTGGGATGGTCTCGTGGGACTGTGCCCTTAAGCTATGGAGACTGATGTTAACTCGGGGATAGTGCCAGAATTGAACTGAATTATTCAACATTTATTTGGAGTTGACAGAGAATTGCTTCATGTGGACAACTCAAACATTTGGTGTCAGAAGTGTGGGGAGAGGAGAGAAAGAGTTATTCTGGTTTGTTTTTATTTAGTTTGGTAAATAGATGCTCCCCTGAGTCTCCCTAATGTCTACCCTATACCAACACCACTTCTGCCATCCCCTGAGGAAACCCTTAGATCTTCTTATAATTCGGTAACTAAAAGATGAATGCCAAACTAAACCATGGAACTCAGTAACAACCTTAACCTCGACACTATACCCACCCCAAATTATGGATGACAGACTTCCACGTATTATTAAATATTTTAGCTGTCATTCTTCCATATTAATGAGGGTCAGCACAGCCAGAGAAACAGGCCCAGTAATATCTCAACAACAATGCTGCGAATCAGGCTTACAACTGAAATCAGGGTGGTGCTTGTCCAGTTTTGAAGACTGATTCACATATTGCTTAGCAGTGTACTCCTCTCTGACTTTAGAGTTCAAAGCCACCAGAGGAAGGAAGGATGTCCTTGCCAGCTGGTATGATAGCCACTAACATCACGTATACTCTTTCTAAATCAACGGAACCCTTTCCAATAGAAATCTTACTTAGAATATCAATATATAAACATATGGGATTCAAATCACATTGTCTAAAGAGGGGAGAGGGCTTGGAAGTGAGACACTTGTACAGCCCAAAGTATAAAAACCCCTGATATAGAAAATAATGAAATTATGGGGCTGGTGCTGTGGCGCAGTGGGTTAAAGCCCTGGCCTGAAGCATAGGCATCCCATATGGGAGTCGGTTCTAGTCCCGGCTGCTCCTCTTCCCATCCAGCTCTCTGTTGGGAAAGCAGTAGAGGATGGCTCAAGTCCTTGGACCCCTGCACCTACATGGGAGACCAGGAGGAGGCTCCTGGCTCCTGGCTTCAGATCAGCATGGCTCTGGCCATTGCAGACAAGTGGGGAGTGAACCAGCAGATGGAAGACCTCTCTCTGCCTCTCCTTTCTCTGTGTGACTCTGACTTTTAAGCAAATAAGTAAATCTCTTTAAAAAAAATAATGTAATTAAACTATTCTAGTGCTTAAAAATTATAATAGAAAACTAAGAAACATAAAACATATTTTGCCTTTTATATAAATATATAACATAAAATTACTTATTTACAAGATATATAATACTCATGGTATATAATTTATATACCATATATAATTATGATGTATAAATATATACATAAATCATAAAGGCCTGGGTAAAAAATAGACCTTTCTGAAACAGTGATATGGGGCCAGCACCATGGCGTAGCAGGTAAAGCTGCCGCCTACAGTGCCGGCATCCCATATGGGCGCCAGTTTGAGTCCCGGCTACTCCACTTCTGATCTCTCTGCTATGGCCTGGAAAAACAGTAGAAGATGGCCCAAGTCCTTGGGCCTCTGCAGCTACGTGGGAGACCCAGAGGAAGTTCCTGGCTCCTGGCTTCAGATCAGCACAGCTCCAACCGTTGCGGCCATCTAGGGAGTGAACCAGCGGATGGAAGTCCTCTCTCTCTCTCTCTGTCTCTGCCTCTCTGTAACTCTGCCTTTCAAATAAATAAATAAAATCTTTTTTTAAAAAAGTGATATATACCAAAAGCCTAAAAATGCTTATAGAAGATAACCACCTCCAAAAGTGTATTAAGGAATAGCCCTACATAATTGTGGTGGCAAAAGAAGATAGAGGCAAAATTATGTGTGGTCCTGTCACCAATTTCCAAATAATAAAAGTGTTCCAAAAACTGGAAACAACTTTAACAGCCAATGATGGAGAATGGTTGAATAAATGCTGGCACACTGTCTGGTAGAATATGACTCAACCGCCTTAAACACATCCATAAGGAATTTGTAGCAACATGGATAGGCAGTAGAAGAGCAACTGGTTAAAAAGAGAGAGAGAGAGAGAGAGAGAGAGAGAGAAAGAAGAAAGAGAAAAAGAAAAGAAAGTTAGGTTATAAAATCTAGCATGCCTATATGTTTAAAAATTTCTAACTGAAAATAACTCACACATAATACATATTTCAACTTTTCCATAATGATTGTGTATGAATTTTACAATTATAATAAATTTATGAAGTTACAGGACAATTTCACTTACAGGCAAGAAGGAAAAACCAGAAATAAATCATTTAGCTGATTTCAAAACACAGATGGAAAAGAAAGTAGCAGTTCAAAATTCATTTCAGCACCTTTATACTCCAGCCCGCCCACAGTTTGCCACAAGCAAACTCACCAACAGATGTCACTGTTAGACTTCTTACTTTGAGCCTATCTCTGAAGATGCACAACTTCACTGTTCAGATCAGAAGGCAAAACCAAAACCTTTTACAAATCCCCAAGTCATCTCCCAATGGGTTGTAGATTTGTCATTTTTTGACTCCAGTCCAAACCTCATTTTATAATAACCAACGCCGAAAACTTTTCTAAAATGCCATACAGTGACTATGAACTTTAGGGCTACAAGAAGCACAGGATTCTCTTGCTCATTTGTTACCACTCATATGAACACGGCTGAACTAAACCACCCTGTATCACCACTCATATAATAACAGTCCCAACCTACACTCATCAATACTTACTTCCAGGCCAGAAAGTAATGAATTGAAGAACATGAGATTGTCAGTAGGCATTAAAGTTAATAGGAAAAAGAAAACAAAAAGCATCTTGGATGCTCAGCGCTCACTGCATCTGTGACAGGATCCGGGGTGGCTAAAGTAGTGGTGAGAGCTGTGACAGTCTGGTCAATACGATCAGGCCATCTAAATGTGCTGGTAGATGAAACCTATCCCAGTGCTTTGTGTTGGGGAGTCAATGCTTCTGGGTCGATGAAAACACAAATGAATGAGAATGAAGTAGGCTATGTGTTTTAAATAGGTCATCTTGTAGCCATCAGATTTCCTGTCTACCTGGTCACTTGTTAACTGAACAGCTATAGAGAAAAAAGGTTATAAATATGCAAGGAAGACAAGCTACTTAGATTTCATTTGAGTATCCAAAGCATATCCAATGGCTGACATATGTTATTCACAAATTCTGAGTAAGATGGTATTCAGAAGTGACTATCAGCAACTGGGTGATCCCACGAGGGTTAGACAGAAAAGCTAATGTGAATAAAACACTCTGAAAACATTCCAATACATTACAAACACCATCTCTTCAGATGAAATCACTGGTTCGCGCACAAACTTCAGATCACCAAGTTTCTAATTTTCTGCAACTCACTGATTTTTTTTAAAAGATTTATTTATTTATTTGAAAGTCAGAGTTACACAGAGAGAGAAGGAGAGGCAGAAAGAGAAAGAGAGGTTTTCCATCCGCCAATTCACTCCCCAGATAGCCGCGACGGCTGGAGCTGCACCAATCTGAAGCTGGGAGCCAGGAGCTTCTCCTGGGTCTCCCATATGGGTGCAGGGGCCCAAGGACTTGGGCCATCTTCTTCTGCTTTCCCAAGCCACGGCAGAGAGCTGGATTGGAAGTGGAGCAGCTGGGACTCAAACTGGCACCCAGTTTGGATGCCGACACTCAGGAGGCAGTTTACTCGCCATGCCACAGCGCCGGCCCCCCCCAATGATTTTTAAAAGAATGATTCCCACGCAAAATGCATTTTCAGCAGCTTTCTCTTACACAATTTACATTAAGTACATATTAAATAAGCTTTTGTTGACTGCAAAGAACCACAGCACAAATACAAAAATTTCTACTCACATGGAGATCCAAGTACAATTCACTTCTGTTTGGCTTCTCTCTTTCCTCATGGAGCAGAAATGGACAGGCTGGTCCTGTTCTATAGCCCAAGACCCATGCACTTCCATCCCTGTTGGGAAGGTCTTTTGTTGTCTGTTCACTGAAGCAGTCCCAGGGCAAGCCATCAGCAGAGGTACCTAAACAAACACAGAGACCATTAGCTTCCCAGAAGCTTGAAAGAAAACAAAAACAAAAACAAAAACAAAACACAAGACAGCCATATTGGGGAACTCCTACATGGACCACTTCAAACTATTTTTTATTTTACTTTTTAGGTTATATTTTTAGAGTTTGCTTTCCTCCAAAAGTATTTCTTTTAATTATGCTTTCAGGATCACACTAACAAAAAATTGAAATGTAGGTACTTATCCTCAATTTTAAAATATGTCTATTAGCTGGCCGGTGCTGCGGCTCACTAGGCTAATCCTCCGCCTGTGGCGCTGGCACACCGGATTCTAGTCCGGGTCCGGGGCGCTGGATTCTGTCCCAGTTGCCCCTCTTCCAGGCCAGCTCTCTGCTATGGCCAGGGAGTGCAGTGGAGGATGGCCCAAGTGCTTGGGCCCTGCACCCGCATGGGAGACCAGGAGGATGCACCTAGCTCCTGGCTACGGATCAGCTGGCCGCGGTGGCCATTGGAGGGTGAACCAACTGCAAAAAGGAAGACCTTTCTCTCTGTCTCTCTCTCTCTCTCACTGTCCACTCTGCCTGTCAAAAAAAAAAAAAAGTCTATTAGCTGTACTCTAGGCTCCATATTCTTGTTTCCAATCCAGGCTTCCCAGTCCCCGTTCACGCAGAATAGAATCAGAGGGAAGGACAGAAGACAGGAGGCCTAGCTTGCTGGTGGTACTGTTGAATGCTGTCACTTGAGCCAACTACTACTACAACAACTACAACACACTACTAGTGTCTGCATGCTTCCGGGGTTAGAAATGTGTCCTGTTCATTTTTGCTTCTGGGTATAGAAACATCATACGTGGCACATTTGGTACTTGGTATGTTTGTCAAAAGGGTGAGTGCTGCATGAATAAACTGTTTGGGACTCAATTTTGTCATCTCCAGAATGGAGAGGATTAGGTTAGCTCATTCTCACTTAAGCTATGTTTGCATAATAATAATAATCTACTACAGGCCAGGCACTGCTTTTAGTGCTGCTCTTCAATTTTTAAGATAGCCTATAGTTAGGTATAATTAGTGTACTCAAGTACAAAGAAGTTAAGCAATCTGCCCAAGACCATAAACTTGGTTACTGGTAAAGCTAGGAACTCAGGCTACAACACTAGAGGCCATACTCCTAGGCTCCACACTATGGCTTCTGACTGGCATTCCTGAGATGACAATGTGTATTCTACAACAAAAGGAAGCCATGGCAAATAAGTGTGACAAAAGTTTCATATTGCGTTCCTTGGAGAGACATGACTCATGTCAGTCTCTTAAAGACCTTGAGATGTCTTTTAGTAAAGAATCTTAACTCTTTAAAATAGGGGTTTCCAAACGTGTTTGACCATGGAATCCATATAAAGGACACTCAGTGCCCATGTTGCAAGCTACTAGTGTTTTCCTGGAACATAAGTAGAAAAACACTAGATTAGATCACCTTTAAAGTCTCATACAACATTCAAGTTCCTAGCTCTCTTTTAATTCCTGGTAGGTAACCTTGGAAGATGTTGAGCAATGAGACAGAAGTTGAAGTTCTGACTCAATGTACAAAGGGATCACTATTGGATATATGATAGGGTGTTTATTACATATAATCCTTCTTAGAGAGTTTATTTGGCAGTGACCCAAAAGCCAGCCAACAGCCTTTACCTTGGTGAAAACCTGACTTACAAGTAACTTGAGCTGGAAATAAGTCAGCAAACAAAGAGACTATGGATTAACATGCTTCTCCTTTATAACAGAGTAGCATTTTAGAAGAAAGCAAATTTGAGAAGAGCTAATTTTTTTTGTTTGCTTATTCAGTTTGTTGATTTCCAATCATACTTTGAACTGAAAGGTGACATAGGTCAAAGTGTGCCCTCTGGCAGGTTGTCTGCAAAACACCTTCTGGCAGGCACAGAGGAAAATGAGAGTTCAAGGTCTTGTGTAGTGCATCTACAATGAGAAAATGAGGCTCTTCCTTCACATAGGCCAGAGGCCAGAGACTGAGTACATTTTCAGTCCTGCCTTTTGCTGCTCACTGTGACCTCTACTTGAGGGCCTTCTGTCTGCAAGGCACCCTCACTCCTACTCCAAAGACATGGGAACGAATCCTTGCAAGAGCTCACTAAGTACCTGTGCCTTGTCCTCATGGCAACCCAGAGAAGAAGAAAGTGCCGCCTACACTTTAATAGATGATACAATTAAAGCTCAGACTCATTTTGACTTCCATGTATTTGGCTTTTCTACCTTCTGGAATATTTCTGTTCATGTTTGACCAAAAAAAAAAAAAAGGAAACAAAATTTTCCTAGGTTCACAGTGTGCCCTCACCATGCTATTGTAACTTCTAAAAATTAATAATGACTAATTATATCCTCATTGTAAATCCTTCTACTTTCCATTTTTATTGTGGAATAACTGCTGGCTTTGGGCAAAGTGTACACAGATTATAAAAATAATAAAAAAAATTGAAATATACAGTCACAAAACACAATGTACAACACCTAAGGTAAGATATCTGTAAGATCAGAGGCACATTGTCTGGTGAGTATAAGTTCATTGTTTATATATGAGAGAGAGGAAAAAATCCCTAAAATAGTAAGGATTTGGGGTCCTGAGATATAACAAATATGTACACACATGCACATATATGCATATGTATATACACAGCGCATGCTTATGCACACACCCATGCAGGCAAACACATACACCTACGGTGGCTATTTAACAGCACATTAACGAGGGAAAGAGTACAATTCACTCTTTATGCAACAGAAAAGCAACACAAAATTGAAGCAGAAACAATAAATGTTCTGGAAATGGTTTAAGGTTTAGAGAGCCAATTCCTCACACCTGATGTTTAACCAGACAATATCCCTATGAAGGAAAACACACGAGGTTAAATCATGATGCATAATCATCTGGATCAGGATCATTGGGATAGGAAAGGACTAAGGGCAGAAATAAGGAACATAAAATTCTTATTCTGAAAAGTCTGACAAAGGAGGTTAGGACACTGAACAAATGAATCATTCCAAAGACCATCACAAATGTACAAAGCAGTTTTGTATATGGAGTGTTTTGATAATACAGGCACAAGTTTTTTAGTTAGAAATAAAACATGTGTCTGTATTTAGTAAAATGGGTACTGCCCACACTACTTACTTTGGCTAAATCAATTTAATAAGAGAGAAGAAAATTACATGAAATTAAGTAAATAAATTCCGTCAAAACAGTCAACTGTCATTTGATTTTCTAATACAGATTTCAGAGTGTTAGAATTTCACTGAACATTTTGTGAAAAGGTGAGTTTTACGAATTTGATCATATACTCATTACAAGTCTGTTACTCCATATTCATGAGTTACTTTATTTCTGAAGGACATTTCAATAGTTTGATTGATCACAGGTACACACATGGGTTAATTTTATAGCTGAGCATGGTTAATACAACATACAGCACAGTTACAGTGAATGGAAGGTGACTTACCTTGGGACCACCTTGAAAGTCTGTGTTTTTCCCAACCATTCAAATGATGAGCTGCACTTCCTGATGCTAACCTATAACATCAGACTGGGGTTTTGCCATCAATGATCAAAACAACAGAAGCAGATAGAAAGGAAAGGTAATGTGCCATTTAAAATGGAGGCAATGGCTGTAGCTTATCTTTCCAAAATAAAATCAGTCTTTCTACCTGTAGTACATTAGATGACTACACTCACTTCTCCAGCCTCCCCATTCATTATAAACTCACACCAGAAGCACTTTCTGGCTGCGTCTGCAGCTTATTCCAACAGTCAGTGTTGTATATCTCCCCTGCCATTTGACTTGCTTTGGTCAACTGAACACAGACAATGTGGCAGTGCATCAATTCTGAGCAAAGGCCTTAGGAGCCATTGTGTGTTTTTATGTCCTGCTTTGTGCTTCTGCCATCACCATGAGACATGTATGCCCGGGGGGAACCTGGAACGAGACACATGGAATAGACCCAAACACAGACTCCTGCAGCCGGGAGCCATGCTCAGTTGAGCTTACACTGGATCAAGTGAACCTTAACCAACTCTCAGGCCAGTGAATGAGAACAATAAATATTTTCTGTAAGCCATTGAGATTTTGGTCCTAATTGTTTAAACAGTTGCCTCATATACTATCATCTGCCTCTGTCAGAAACACTTTAACTACTAAAATATTTAAACTGTTTTTGACAGAGAGGGCCTAAAGACCACAGTATTTGTATTTTGTAAATAGTACCAAAAACAATTCTTCAATGAACAAAAGTTTAGAAAAATTAAGTGAAAAGTCAAGGTATACCCATTTTCTCACTCATACCAAGAACTACATACAAAACAATTTTGTTAGAAACATTACCCTATTTACCAGGCATTGCCCTAAATCATCTTATGAATATTGGTAATATATGCATATCTACCTGCTTCCAAGGAAAAGTTTTCAATCACACTACAAAATCATCAGATCTGGACAAAAGTCCCCAAGGAACAAAATTACAGGGCCTTTCAGGCTTTCTCCTCTAATTTTGCTGTCAGACCAAGCCCTTATTTGACAGCAATGATGAAGTGGTTATGCTTCAAAGAGGGAGAAGGAGAGCAGGGAGGAAATCTCAGCTTGAAGCTCTCATAAGTTTTAGCTCTCATACTATAATTCTTAAACCCATCCATCATACCTGACTTGAAATAAATTCGGAAAGGTAAAGTTTTCTCAACTGTGAATATCAGAACTGATAGGTAAAGATAGGCAGGTTGTCTTCTGTTATGCTATTCAAACGTGTACTTAAAAGTAAGACAGGCAGCCATCTAGATGTGTAGCTAATGGAGAGTGACATTGTTAAGTACTTGTAAGGAGGGTGTGTGCCTGTGTGCATAACTATTTGTGTCTATCCAGGAAGACAGAGCTTTGACAAAAGTATAGTCTTCATGGCTGGTTTCTGTCAATTAGAAATCAACATTCCTCAATCCCACACTCTCCTTTTCTTTACCAGCGGT